GAAATGCAAATAATCCGCAAACCCAATTCACCTTCATCCACCAACCTTGATAGTTTGCAAGATCAATGGCCAAATTTAACGGGATTCATCAGAAATTTTTGTTTATGGAGAGGTGAAGAAACTGATCAAATCAAAGATGGTTACCAAGATCTCGACCCCTCTAATTCAATAGTGGAGAAGCTACTTTGGACCTATTTAGACATCCCTTATTTATTGGGTTACTACACTATAGGGTTCTTGGTAACATTTTGTTCACTAAGTCGTGGTCGAGATAACCGAGTCGTCCGAACCGATCTATATTCGTTAGATTTATCAACACCTAGTGAGAGATTGAAGGCGTTGGTCCCATGTTATAGAATTGGTGGTGTTTTATCATTGTTAGCCGATCGATGCAACAAATTGCCAATTTATAGTGATTTTGAGAGAATTGATATGGGAAATGGAATTGTGGTGGAAATGACACCAAATTTGGTGACCAAAATTTTCTCTTGTAGAAGGAAGTGGACGGCGGCGAAAGAGATTTATGATGTCTTGGATCAAAGAATCCCACATTCGGAATTCATCTTCGGAGCATCCGAGGAAGATTTGGCATTGGTTTTTAAGCCGAGGGTTTGCAGATTGAAGCCCACAAGCTATGATCAACTAATTGAGGCACTCAAAAACGTGACCAAAGCGCTTGTGGCATTGCACGATTTGTGTTTCATGCATAGAGATATTTGTTGGGAAAAGGTGATGAAAAAAACAAACGACGATGAGACAGTCACCGGGGAGTGGATTCTTTGTGGGTTTGAAGAGGCGGTTGGAGCTCCGCAGATTTACCCGTACGGTGCAGCGACGGCAGCGAGTGTGAGGCACGCGCCGGAAATGGAAAGGGGTTTGCATGGGGTTAAAGTGGATATGTGGGGAGTGGGATTTTTGATTAAAACTTGTGGGTTAATTGGGATTCCGAAGATGTTAAATGAACTTCAAAACCGGTGTATGGATCAAAACCCTGAGCACCGGCCAACCGCCGCCGACTGTTACCACCACCTGCTGCAGCTTCAGTCGTCTCTGTCAACGTCAACCGGAGCAGCGGGTGGTGGGTTGATTTGACTGTAAGAGATGGAGAGTTTGTTAAAGAAAAAGCTTCATACATTTTTTTTTGTTGTTGTGTTGTTGAGAGAATAAAAAATTTACCTTAAAATTAAAGAAGAAAAAAAAGTGACTAAAACAGGAAGTGGGTTTCTGGTAATTCTGGTCTGGCAAGCTCTACCTTCGAAAAATGGCGGCTGTTTCTGATCGAAAAAGTGTTTGCCGTCGTGTTTAATCAGATCAGATCAGCCAATTTTCAGGACTGATGTGTAAGTTTAACAGTGTTTTTTATTAAAATTTTCCCTTTTTTCACGGGTTTGTTTTTCTTTTGATCGGAATAATCTTCAATCATTTTCATTGTTGTCATTTCTTGAATCTTTTTGCCATTTGATTTGAACTATGGAGAGGGTTTAGATGATGAACTTTTATTTACTCGGTGGTTTATATGATACGGCGAATGATATTGTCTATTTGACGTATTAAAAATAGAACTATGAATCCAAACTAGCTTGAAAGTGCATACAGCTTGGGGGTGGTGACACATCGGCCGACATAGATTGTTGTCAATTGTTTTTAAAGAATCAAGAGCCGTATGTACCCGACATATAAACCAAATGAAAAAATATTCACCCTCGACCACCTAGAAACCTGGTAGCCTCGCGAAATATTTTAGCCATTTTTCATTTAGAGGCCACTAAATATGGGTCCATGATAAAGTTGGGTTGAATATATCCAATTTTGTTGTAAGCCCACAGTCATCCAAAGTTCGACCTTGATCATAATTCATGTCCATTTACTTCGTGAGGAAGTTCTCATTTGATATGCACATGTGGTAAGCACGCGTTAGGAACTCTTCCCGCGCGTATAGGGCACTCGAGTCGCATTTCCCTCGCCATTTGACCCATGTTTGTCAGTTTTTCATCTCGATTTTGATATTAATTGTATTTTTACATGAATTAGGTTCCTCTAGGAGATTTCCAGAATTTCTAAATTCCTCTGGCTAGTAACCACTCTAAAACACACGCGACAAACCTGTAAGTTGTCGTAAGGACTTTAGACAAGTAATACCTATTGTGATTGCTAGGACGTACTAGCATGCAAACTTACTTTACCTTAGGTAGTTTGAATATGCATATTTAGGACTTATATGGGCAAATCTAGATAGGTGTACATAATGTTAAACTAAATTATGAAAATTCCTCGGTTTATTAAATGCATTCTGATGTGCAAAATGGAGAATAAAAAACTTGTGATCTACGCTCCAGGTTTTAGATGGACGTTATCTCCCTATTGAGCATGTTTGAATTGTATGTTAAATTGTGTGCTAGATTCATGTGGATGTTTGTATGGATTATTTATGCTTAGTTGACCGATAAGAATATCTTTATAGTAAGCTTACATGAACGTTTAGATCTTATTTTCAGTACTCTAGGTGGTCGATACAATATCTTCCTAGTAAAGAATGTAGTTTATATGTTGACTATGATTAGTATGCTTTCAATAGACCAAGCACCCTAAGATCGTGAGAGACAATTAGAGACTTCGGTGCACCCAGAGATTTGGTTTAACCACGTGGAGTTAACCCCAAGCAACCTGGAAACTAGTTGAGATTTAAACCGCCTGAATGCCCTAAAACCAAGTAAATCTCCACAACATCTAAGGAAAATTAGGAGAAATAAGATTGAGGTAACGTGAATGGAACAACTTGAGAAGTCATTGTTGTGTGTAGGATATAACCCGCCTTAATAGGGGGTGAAAGACCATAAAATAGTTGACTCGAAGACTCATTATTGTATGTAGGGCATAACCCGTCTTGAGAGGGGACGAGGGACTACATGAATAGAAGACATAAGAAACTATTACTGTATATACGATAACCCACATTGAGAGGGGACAAGGACTACATAAGTAGAAAATGTGGGGAACTACTACCATATGTATGATAAATTTCCTTGAGAGGGAACGCTACGATGTGTATAATAATCCGTCTTGATAGGAGACAAGGGACTTCACAAGTATCTAGTTGAGGATATACTATTGTGTGGGACAAACCCACCCTGAGAGGGAAGAGGGACTACATAAGTAGTATATAGAAGAGCTATTATTGTGTGCAAAGGAAACCCGCTCTAATAGGAGATAAGAGACTACATAAATAGTAAAGCTCATAATAGGCACCACTATGGTGTATGGTAGTAGTTAAGAGATTCTTGAACTAGGCTTGAACTTCTTTGTGAGACCCCACATCGATTCAAGGGGAGAATGAAGCATTCCTTATAAGGATGTGAACAACTCTCCCTAGTGGACGCGTTTTAAAACCGTGAGGCTGACGATGATATATAATGGGCCAAAATAAACTATATCTGCTAGCGGTGGGCATGAATTGTTACAAATGGTATCAGAGCTCGTCATTGGTCTTAGTAGGGCTACACTCTCTCCATAGTAGATGCATTTTAAAATCGTGAGACTGACAACGATATGTAACGGCCTAAAGCAGACAATATCTGCTAGTGGTGTGCTTGAGTTGTTACATACTTAAAGCCCTAAGACAAGTCCTAGAAGATTATTAAGTTAAAGATGCGATGAGAGCCTACGTAGGCTGCGTACTCACTCCTATCTCATTTTATTTTTTAGGTACGAGTTGAGGTGCCGACCCATGCTGTCAATGTTTATGTGTATTCTTTTTTGGGTGGTCATTGCATTCTTTTTGTATCTGTCTTTCTTAAAATTTTACCGTATCTTTGGTAATTTTTTTAATTGTTTACTATTTTACTTTTATTATATTTCTTTATGTGTTCATCCTTTCGTGGCAATCCGATCGTAACATTCCGGATAATTTAAAACAGCTGTTCTTTTTTGTAAATTTTTCCCAGCCAGCAAATTGATTTTTGTTCTTGTTTGGCCCTTTTTTGTTTATGGCAAAGGAACGACATACATTGGTACTCTATCGAATTCAACATATTTTAACTTTTTTTCTTTTTTGGCCTTCTTTGTTTCCAATAAAGGAATCAACACCGTATCAACTCCATTCCAATTCAAATTCAATGTATTTCAATTGATTTGAGGAGACCATCGCAATATGGTTATCTCTTAATAACTATTAAATAAAATTCTCAAACAAACCTAAAATAGTTATTAGAACGAATTTTCAAATTTAAAAATATCATACGTTATAGTGTCCTATTAATCATATCACTGTCTAAGTCTATACTGTTCTCGTTCAATTTTTCTTTTGGACTTCTCTTTAGGTTTTTACACCCTTGTAAAGAATGTTTCGTTCCCCTCTCTAACCGATGTGAGATCTTACAATGCACCCCCCTTCGGGACCTAGTGTTCTCGTTGACACTCGTTTCTCTCTCCAATCGAGGTGGGATCTCACAATTTGCCCCCCTTCGAGGCCAAGCGTGCTCGTTGGCACACCGTCCGGTGTCTGCTCTGATATCATTTGTAATAGCCGAAACTCACCCTAGTAGATATTATCCTCTTTGAGTTTTTCCAACAAATCTCTAATAAATGTGTTTTTGAGGAAAAGTAGAAAAGGAATTTTTTTTAAAAGACAATCTAATAATGAATGTGAGCCGTTACATACCGAAAATGTAATAACGTAAGAAGAACGGAGTTATAATAGGCAACTAAGTAACAGAAATCCAATCTTGCATAAAACTTTTGGCAATTTGACATTAAACATTGCTAAGTCAGAATTAACATCAATCCATTATCATTGTGTGTGGTTGCATGACCCTCGAGATAAGTGCTCATTTGGATAAATCTCTATAAACCTATTTGGATAAAGGATAATACATACTTTTGAATAAGGATATTACTAAATTTTCTTGGGAGAATACCAAATTTCCAAATTTACCCTTCTTGCCACCTTATAAATCTCCGGAACTCCCACCTCTCAAATCCATTCAATTTCTTAGTGTTACTACTCAAATCTCTCTCCAAGAAGGCAACAATGGCGCTGAATTGCATGAACGCAACCGAATCCTCACCGGCGTTGAACCAAGTGAAGAATAGGGAGTACCTTCCGGCATTTTGTGGCTCCGACGAGTCAAAGATACCGGAGGAATTCATTTGGCCAGAAGAGTTTAAGGCAGCGGAGGTGGTGCCGGAGCTGCATGTTCCACATATTGACTTTAAGAAGTTTTTTAGTGGCAATGAAAGTGACATTGAAGAGGCGACGAGGCTGGTGGATGAGGCTTGTAGAAAACATGGGTTCTTTGTGTTGGTGAACCATGGAGTTGATATGGAATTGATGAAAGCTGTTCATGAGTGTATGAATGAGTTCTTTACAATGCCTTTGGATGTGAAGCAGAGGGCTGGAAGGAAGGTAGGTGAGAATTATGGATATACTAATAGCTTCATTGGGAGATTCGCATCCAAGCTTCCTTGGAAGGAAACCTTTTCCCTTCGCTGTGTGGCTGCTCAAAACTCCTCCGCTGCTCATGACTATGTTCTTGACACTTTAGGCTCGTCATTCTCCCATCATGGGTATCTAAATTCCACTATCTCTACCTATGCCTATTTAATCCTTACACTTTTTTTAATTGTTTGATGGTGTTTTAGGAAGTTGTATCAAGAGTGTGGGATAGCACTGAACGAGCTTGGTATGAAGATTGTGGAGCTTTTGGGGCTGAGCCTTGGCATTTCAAGAGAATGCTTCAAGAATTTCTACGAGGACAACGATTCAATATTGAGGCTTAATTATTACCCAACATGCGGGAAGCCAGAATTGGTGTTGGGAACTGGCCCTCATAGTGATCCTACCTCCGTCACAATCCTTCACCAAGACCATGTTAGTGGCCTTCAAGTGTTCGTAGATGATCAATGGTATTCAATTCCTCCAACCCCGGATTCCTTTGTCATCAACATTGGTGACACTTTCATGGTATGTATATGCAACACAAAATTAGGATTAGGGTTTCGTCAACTTTGAATATAAGCTCTTATGGTTTTACTTTGAGCTTTCCAAAAGGCCTCGTGCCAATCGAGATATATTCCAATTCCGTACTTATAGACCCATAATCCTTCCTTAAATTAGCTAACGGGGACTTAATTTTTTGTGTTTGAAGTCTCTGACAAATGGGATTTACAAGAGCTGCTTGCACCGAGCTGTAGTGAACTGCAAGGAATCAAGAAAATCATTGGCGTTCTTTCTATGTCCAGCGCATGACAAAGTGGTGAGAGCACCGGAGGAGTTGGTGGAGAAGAATCCACCAAGGAATTATCCAGATTACACATGGGAGATGTTGCTTGAAATGACCCAAAAGGATTATAGGGCTGATTTCAAGACTTTGGAAGCCTTCATGGCTCGTGTTCAAAAGGAAAAGTCGTTGGAGGACACTGCCTCCCCAGCTGCGACGTCTGCTTAAACCAATCTACAAGATGTTCATTCATGAGCTTTCTTGGGAAGAAGAAGAAGATCACTTCGTGTTTAGTTAATATATACAATACACATGTTTACGCTTTGCTCATCTTTTGTTCTGTTCGGAGGTTGTCATATAAATGATGTTTTAAAAGCTTTCTACTTCTAAATCATTATCGATCTCTTTTCTTGATCAACCATTATATCTAAAATGAATGGTACAGATGAATAGAGTTTGTATCAAAAGTTTATAAAATAAAACCAAACTTAACTTAAACCTATGCATATCTTTCAATATTTTTTAATTGTCAAGCTATTTTTGTTGGTGTTAAGTTTTGAAACAAAGGCTATAGATGGTGTTCATAAATTTTTCAATTTTGATATATTTTTAGTTTATAAACTTATTGTGAAAAATTCCCATTGGATAAGATCCTTATTGGTACGAGACATTTTTAAAAAATAAAAAATAAAATTCATTATTCCATTGTTGTTAAATACAAAAGTGAAAGGATTCTTGTAACCACATATCTAAATATCCCATTACATAATAAAGTGAAAAATAAACCACATAAATTAGTTAAAATGACCCTCAACCCATGGGGTGTTGGGTGTGGTTCTAGTTAAGTCGATATACAATATTACAAAGATCATTAGAGGTTAGTTGAAGACAAATCTCACATTATGAGAGATTAGCTAGCGAACTCTATCCACAGCATCATTTAGAAGTTGTGGGAGTGACTCTTCTATGCTTGCCAGTTACTAAGACTGTTACTAAGATTACCTGCATAATCCTATGTCTCCTCACGGGGCACATTTTTTGTGTAGATAATCCAACTTAAATGTTGGTCACACAACCCTAACCAGTCTAGGCTTGGCTTGACGACACTGGTATCGAGCGAAAAAGAAAATGGAAGCTTTATTGACATCATACCAATATGGCTTGGAGACCTTTGTCAGCTTACTTTGTTTATGCATTGAATGAACGGTGAATTGGGTTGAGGTGGGACCTTGCACACTATAAAAACAGTATGGTGACTGCTTGTCTGAATATCATCCATGGAAGGTTAGTTGGTTGACCTTTCCACAGGACCATAAAAGTCACTAGAGCTCGTGGGGAGCGATCTCCCATGTGCCGGCTAGCTATTGCGTCAACCTATGTGGTCCCACACCCCCTCCCCCCTCTCAAGAACGAGTTTATAGCATAGAGGCCTTGCTTAGGAGACCGCTGGCTATTTCCACATGGTTGGGCACCTAGTCGTCTCGATACACCTCCCCTATCTGTGCCTACCTCAATGGTACAGGAATAAGAGTAGAATCTCGACGAAATGTGTACCAGAGTAGATAGGTAGCAAAGACTTTGATGATACCCTCATGTTGCTAACAGCGTGAAGAACTTTTGTGGTCATGCTTGGATGCCATGGAGGATTACTAAGTTCTTAGGGGTCTAGACAGTTTAAATCTCATCTCTCGTTTCTAGAACACTCGAAGTTAGCTCCTCGAGCCTAATCCAAATATATAGGTGTACTCAAATTTACTAGAAATATTTTGACCTAGGTCAACGTGTAAACTGTACTAGTTGTAGCACCTCAATCTTAATTGAGTTTTCTCAAGCATGCTTTGCTAGGAAAATATACCTATTGATTACCTAAGCGCGTAATCCATAATTTAAACTTCGCCTTGGTCATATCTAGAAGCTGAGTTCCTAGGGTGACTAGGTGGTTTTATGTGGACTTCTGACTCTAGATTGTTCTTCTCCAACTTCTCGAGACTTTCTTAGTCTGAGAGCACTAGGGTCTAGACCTTTTGATAGTTGCTCACAATCTTACGGTGCTTAGTCTATTGGAAACATCATGACCAAGATCATTGTCTAGCCAACCTAACTCTAACATTATCTTTTAAAAATGGTCCACAATAAATATATATATATATATATTTTTTTTCACTTCATTGTCTGCTTCTTTATTCTACAACACCATTTCTAAAATTCATTTTAAACAACACTTCAGCTTAAAGATAATAGCTAGACATATGAAGGCACTCGTGGACGATGATGGAGAACTTAGCTGAAAGAAGGGAAAAGAACATAAAAAAAAACATCTAAAAGTAAAACAAAAAACTTGAAGAACAAAACGATGAAGGACTAAAGAATGTCCAAACTAAACAAGTGAGAGAATTCAAGAATATGGAACACATTGAAAAATGTTAAGCATGCAGATATGAAGAAGGACACCGGGAGAGATGAAAATTAAATGTTTTTTTTAAGATACATGTCCGAGTGACAAAACTTAGTAGTGATAATTGGCTGCGTCCCGTTCATCTCTTTCTCTAAAGGCTTTTCAGACTCAACAAGATGGGAGACTAAACAAAGTTCTTCGAACATCAGATCAAACTCACAAGCCATCTGGTAAGGCAGGTAAGCGAGACTCTCTCTTTGGCCTGTGTAAGGGCGGAACAAGGAGTTAAAAGGAGAATGAAGAGTAAAGGAAAGAGAATGAATCTTTGTTACAGGCAGTCGAGTAAAAGAGTTCAGTCACATCATTTATAAATAAGAAATATATCTTCATTAGTCTTTGGGAGAAGTTGAAAGCAAAGCCATGAAAGCTTATGGGAGAGTAGTTATTCCTAACAAATTTATCCCCTATAAATGTCCGGAAATCCCACCTGTCAATTCCATTCAGTTTGTTACCTATCATACTCTCTTACTTATTCTATCTTCTCAAATCTCTCTCAAAAAAGGAAAAAGAAACTATTTTTTTCTTTGCATGCAATGGCTTTCAAGTGCAAGATGGCAACCGAATCCTCATTATCCGCTCACTCAAACTTGAACCAGGAGATGAAAAGGGAACGCCGTGAGACATTTGGGGGCTCCGACGCGTCAAAGGTGCCGGAATATTTCATTTGACCGGACGAGTTTAAGGGATCGCAGTTGGTGCCGGAGCTACATGTTCCACATATTGACTTGAATAAGTTTTTGAGTGGCAATGAAAGTGATGTCGAAGAGGCAACGAGGCTGGTGGACGAGGCTTGTAGAGAACATGGGTTCTTTGTAGTGGTGAACCATGGAGTTGATATGGAATTGATGAAAGCTGTTCATGAGTGTATGAATGAGTTCTTTACAATGCCTTTGGATGTGAAGCAAAGGGCTCAAAGGAAGGTAGGTGAGAATTATGGATATACTAATAGCTGATTTGCAGCAGAAAAAAATATGATATTTGAAGATATATTTTAATAATTAGTTAGGAGTAGAGATATTTAGGGATAGGTTAGAAATATATTTTAGGTTAGATTTAGATTTGATTAAGGACATATTTTTTTTATTTATAGTTAGTTATATATTTTTCGTAAACGTGGTATTAAACGTGGTAAACATGAATGAAGATCATACCTTCGATCCCAATTCTATTTCTATTTCTCATTCTCAACATAGTATCAGAGCGCCGATCTTGGTGTTCTTAAATATCAAAATTTCGAATCAGCCAAATCCAGCCTCAAAATTTCGGATGATTTAACACATTCTATCACTCTAATCAGTTAGGATATTCACTCGTTCCAATCAAATTAAATGGAGCGAATTAACAATTATGGAGTAAATCAGTTATGCATGCTCTTATTGCCAATAACAAAATTGGCTTCATTGATTGATAGCACAATTGAAGAACCGTCCCAAGATGCAAATTCAACTGAATTTGAACTATGGAATCAGTACAACAATATGATAATATCTTGGTTAACTCATTTCGTTGAACCAGATATCGCTAAAGGCATTATTCACGCCAAGACAGCTCATAAGTGTGGGTTGATCTTCACGATCAATTCTCACAAAAGAATGCTCTAGCAATTTTTTAGATACAAAACTCGATAGCAACGATGTCACAAGGATCCATGGCACTGTCAACATATTTCACCAAGCTCAAAGCACTCTGGGATGAACTGGAAGCGTACCGCACACCATTTACCTGTAATCAACGTCAAATACATATTGATCAACGCGAAGAAGACAAGTTGATGCAATTGCTCATGGGGCTCAATGAGTCTTATAAAACAGTGAGATCTAACATATTGATGATGTCTCCATTACCTAATGTGAGGCAAACCTATTCATTACTTCTACAAGAAGAGATGTAGCGTCAGGTAATTTCTGAACCTACTGAACTTCAAATTTAATTCAATTTAAGGTGGGAAGTGAGGTTTGAATAGGTTTGATGGTGTTATAGGAAGGTATATCAGGAGTGTGGGAAAGCATTGAACGATCTGGGCATGAAGATATTGGAGATTTTGGGGCTGAGCCTTGGCGTTTCAAGAGAATACTTCAAGAATTTCTATGAGGACAACGATTCAAGATTGAGGCTTAATTATTACCCACCATGTGAGAAGCCAGAGGTTGTGTTGGGAACTGGCCCTCACACTGATCCGACCTCCGTCCCAATCCTTCACCAAGACCATGTTAGTGGCCTTCAAGTGTGCGTCAATGATCAATGGTATTCAATTCCTCCGACCCCAGATTCCTTTGTCGTCAACATCGGTGACACTTTCACGGTATGTCACACAAAATTACAATTAGGGTTCTTTATTTTCCATCTTCCTTCTTCTAAACTCAACTAATTTTGAAATGGGTTGTTTATTTTTTGTGTTTTGAAGTCTCACAAATGGGATTTACAAGAGCTGCATACACCGAGCTGTAGTGAATTGCAAGGAAGCAAGAAAATCAATGGCCTTCTTTCTATGTCCAGCGCATGACAAAGTGGTGAGGGCACCGGAGGAATTGGTGGAGAAGAACCCACCACGAAAGTATCCAGATTACACATGGCCAATGTTGCTTGAAATGACCCAAAAACATTAGAGCTGATTGCAACACTTTGGAAACCTTCACAACTTGGATTCAAAAAGGAAAAGTTGTTGGACACTGGCTGCACTATTATCCCGTCTGGTTAAACCAACCGTAACTATGTCTCTCTATGTATGCCAATAAGTTGTTTGTTTATGAGCTTTGTAGGGAAGAAGAAGAAGATCGTGTAGCGTACGGTCCATGTCTATCTTCTGTGTTGCTGGACGTTTCAGAAAAAAAAAAAAAACCCTTTAATATACACATATTTCACTGTTCTTATCTTTTATTCTGTTCTATGCTAGTGATGTGCATGTTTGACACTTTACATTAAACCAAAATCAAACCCTAAACAACATCCAACCTTTTGTGACATGATTAAACCATCTAATTTGGTATCAGAAAATGCAGGTTAAGAACTGACATTTTTGGATCTATTGTTTGAATGTTATGGTAAAATTACTATTCTGCCCCTATGTTAAGATTTCCAAGAAACATGATGTGTTGTATATTATGCTAAGTTAGAAAGAGGATATGGAGGACCAAAATGGCAATATGGATGAGTGCATTATGTATGAGGTAAGAAATTACCAAAATGACTATGTGATGAGATTTGTGATTAATGTTGTTTTATATGCTTTGCTAAATGTTAGAAAAGAGGAGGAGCTCTATGATTTGTGCTTCGGGTGATTGATGGGTGCTATCTCCCTATTGAGCTTGCTTGCTTGTATGTGTGCATGATATAGTATTTGTTAGCTCCAAGTGTGTTCTCTCTGTAGAGCGTGTTTATCTACACAAAACTAGGGTGTTACACTTAGGTTGGCTAGACGATGATATAGGTCAAGATGCCTCCAATAGACTAAGCACCTTACGATCATGAGTGCCAGTTAGGAGGTCTAGACCCTAATCTCCCATATTAAGAAAGACACGAGAAGTTGGAGCAGAAAAACTTGGAGCCATAAGTTCGCATTGTTAGGATTACTATCAAGATGAACACAAAGAACAGTAGAGAGAAAATTCAAAGAGGAATATTGACGAAAGGTTTTATTGATGACTTCAGGTGTACAACAATAAAGAATACAAAGAATGAAAACTAACTGGTTTGCGTTATATATATAGTTTCAATTTACTAAATATAGCTTTGAGAGATTTAACCACTAAGATATAGTCTACCAATATATCTCTATCCAATCTTTAACAAATATCTACCGTATATATCTCTACTCAATTTTTACTAAATATCTACATTATATTTCTACCCGATCTTTTACGTATATAGGCATCAGGCTCCATATCCCAACAAAAATTAAGCCACCAAGCAGCTCTAGGAACCCAATAGACCTCCTCAACTCCTAGATGCGATCAAGATGACGTTTAAATTATGGATTATATGCTTAGGTGTTCAATAGGTATATCTCGCTAGCAAAGCATGCATTAAAAATCTTAGTTAAGATTAGGATGCTGTAGCTAGTGCGGTTTACACATTAACCTAGGTCAAAACATTTCCAGTATACTTTACACCCTATCGTGAGCGACAATTAAAGGTATAGATCTGAGTACACCTAGAGATTTGGATTAACTTTGAGGAGATAACCCCAAGCGTCCTAAAAATGAGTGATGAGATTTAATCTGCCTAGGAATCCATAAGAAGCTAGTAGTCCTCCACGGGAACCAAGGTAGTTCTTCAAGCTAATAGAAGTGTGATGGTGTCATCAGAATCTCCACTACCTATCCACTCCCGTATCCATTCTTGGGGGGGAGGGGGATGTGGGACCACATAGGTTGACCCAATAGTTTCCCAACACACAGGGATATCTCCACCCAAGCTTTGGTGACTTAATGGTTTCGGGGAAGGGTCCGTCAACTAATCTTCCATGGATGATGTGCAGATTAGAAGACACCATTTTATCCCCACAAAGTATTCTAGGTCGCGCCTCAATTCAGGTCACCGATCATTCTCTACATTATCAAAGAGCAAAAAGATTGTAGCAACTCAGAAAGACAAAGGTAACCACAGGCCGTTAATAATTGGTATAGTGTCGACATAGCTTCCACTTCCTTTTCCCCTCCTGTATCAGTGTTGTCGAGCTAGGCCAAGGTCGGTTAGGGTTGTGTTACTAACAACTCAATTGGATTGCTTTGCACAACATACTCATTCTGAGAAGAAATGTAAAATTATGCATGTAGCCTTATTAGATGAACAGTATTGGAATCACTTTACTTAAAGATAATAGCTTTCCATTTGTGTCAAGAAGGCAATTGGAGAACTTGGATGGAAGGTTAAAAAAACATAGAAAAGCATGTAAAATGAACAAGAAAAGGACGAAAATTAGAGAAGATCCGAAGAGAGCATGCAAGAATATGGTGATACATTGAAAAATGTTAAGCATGCAGATAGGAAAAAGAACAACTCAGAGAGAGATGAAAATTAAATGATTTAAAGAAACAAAACAAAGGAAGAGACAAAATCAGAAAATAAAGATATTTTTAAGGTCAGATTTAAAAGGGAGTTGTTAATTTGATTCTCATCCCCTTTCAGAAAATCATGAGTTTTAGATTATGAGTACTTTGGAAGAAGTGACAAGTATGTGTTGTAAGAATCATGTGAGGAGGAGAGATAAAGAGAATCCCAAATTTCCAATTTACCCTTCTTGCCACCCTATAAATCTCCCCAAATCCCACCCATCAAAGCCATTCAGTTTCTTCCCTATCATACTCCCTTCTCAAATCTCTCTCAAGAGGGAATTTGTTTGAATTGCAAGATGGCAACCGAATCCTTATCTTCCGCCCACTCAGACTTGAACCAGGAGACGAAAGGGGAGTACCGTGGGACATTTGCTGGCCCCGACGAGTCAAAGGTGCCGGAGAGTTTCGTTTGGCCGGATGATCTTAAGGGATCGCAGGAGGTGCCGGTGCTGAATGTTCCACATATTGACTTGAATAAGTTTTTGAGTGGCAATGAAAGTGATGTTGAAGAGGTGACGAGGCTGGTGGATGAGGCTTGTAGAAAACATGGGTTCTTTGTGGTGGTGAACCATGGAGTTGATATGAAAGTAATGGAAAGTCTTCATGAGTGTATGAGTGAGTTTTTTTCAATGCCTATGGATGTGAAGCAGAGGGCTCATAGGAAGTTCGGTGAGAATTTTGGATATGCTTATAGCTTCTTTGTGAGATTCTCCTCCAATCTTCCATGGAAGGAAACTCTTTCCCTTCCCTGTGTTGCTGATGGTGAAAACTCCTCCTCTGCTTATGACTATCTTATTGAAAAATTAGGCCCAACATTCTCCCATCATGGGTAAGTAAATATTTACTAATAATTGGTTTTGATTTTTTTTTTAAGAAGTGTGAGGTGGGTTGATTGTTAATGTAATTTTTAAATAACTTTTCAAAATTTAAGAACTAACCAAACACGAATAGATATTTAATTGATTTAAAGGTGGGAAACGAGATTTGAATAGGTTTGATGGTGTTTTAGGAAGGTGTATCAAGATTGTGCGAAAGCAGTGAACGATCTGGGTATGAAGATATTGGAGGTTTTGGGGTTGAGCCTTGGCGTTTCAAGAGAATACTTCAAGAATTTCTATGAGGACAACGATTCCATAATGAGGCTTAATTATTACCCACCATGCGCGAAGCCAGAACTTGTGTTGGGAACTGGCCCTCACTGTGATCCCACCTCCATTACAATCCTTCACCAAGACAAGGTAAGTGGCTTTCAAGTGTGCGTCGATGATCAATGGTATTCAATTCCTCCAACCCCAGATTCCTTTGTCATCAATATCGGTGACACTTTCAAGGTATGTGACACAAAATTACAATTAGGGTTCTTCATTTTTCATCTTCCTTCTTCTAAACACAACTAATTTTGAAATGGGTTGTTTTATTTTTTGTGTTTTGAAGTCTCTCACAAATGGGATTTACAAGAGCTGCGTACACAGAGCTGTAGTGAATAGCGAGAATGTAAGAAAAACAATGGCTTTCTTTATATGTCCAAATCATGACAAAGTGGTGAGAGCACCGGAGGAATTGGTGGAGAAGAATCCACCACGAAAGTATCCGGATTACACATGGGGAACGTTGCTTGAAATTACTCAAAAGCATTACAGACCTGATTGCAACACTTTGGAAGCCTTAACAGATTGGATTCAAAAGGGAAAGCCGTTGGACAATGGCTCCACTATTACCGCCCCATCTGCTTAAACCTACCTTAATGATATGTCTTTGTGGCTCTACTTCTCTATGTATGTCAATAAGTGGTTCTATGTTTATGAGCTTTCTAGGGAAGAAGACCATCGTGTAGCGTTCTGTCTATGTCTTTCTTCTGTGTTGCTGGAAGTTGCAGCAAAAAAAAAAAAAAAACCCTTTATAATATACACATGTTTCCTTTTGCTGTTCTGTTCTATGTTAGTGAAGTGCATGTTTGACACTTTCCATTCAAACCAAAATCAAATCTTTATACGTTAAAATGAATTAAATACTTGTTGAATGATTAAAAAAAAAAGTTAATTGCATACATGAATGAAGTTCTTTGCTTAGAAAAAAAAATTATTGTTATTTCCTTTTAGAATTATTAGTAGTTGCTAATTTTGGGAGAAAGTTTGAAAAATTTGTTAGTACTTACACCTCCCTAAATACTAATCACATGTATCTTCTGACCACAGCACAAAAAAAAAGAGAATTGAAAACCACAAGTACTTAAGGTTCTTAACTTCAAAGGATCTCTCCCCTCACATTGTTCTTTCTGCTTAATCTATTTGTTTCGGTATATTTCGATTGTGAGTCATATCCAACATTTGGTATCAGAGATAGGATGCTGAAACAAATGTCGTCACTAAAAAGTCGCGGAGTAGATGTGACAACAATAAGGAGTGAAAAGGAGGAGAGTCTTAACGCTCCAGTATCCGTTATTCACGAAGAGTAACTATGCAGCATGGTTGACAAAAATGCATATTAACTTACAAGCACAAGACGTGTGGGACGTCATCGAGCATGGTGATAATGTCGAGAAGCGCAAGGATAGGACGATTCTTGCTTCCATCTATCAAGCAGTCTTGGAGGACGCCCTATTGAAATAGAAGAACTTGGCAAAGACAGAATGCTCCAAGTGTGTTTTAGAATTAAAATTTCATTTGAAGAAGACAGAGTTGACGGGACCAAACAAAGCTCAAGTGTGTTCTCCCTGTAGAGCATGTTTATCTACACAGAACTAGGGCGTTACAACTAGGTTGGCTAGACGATGACTTAGGAGAGAATGTCTCTAATAGACTGAGGATCTTAGGATCGGGAGTGACGTTTAGGAGGTCTAGACCCTAGTGATCCCATATTAAGAAAGAATCGAGAAGTCGGAGTAGAGAAACCTGGAGCCATAAGTCTGCTTTAAGCTACCTGGCTACTTTAGGAATCCAATAGACCTCCTTAGCTCCCAGAGGTGACCAAGACGATGTTTAAATTATAGATTACGGGCTAAGGTGATCGATTGGTATATCTCCCTAGCAAAGCATGCATGGGAAATCTCAGTTAAGATTAAGGCACTAAAGCTAATGCGGTTTGCACATTGACCTAGATCAAAACGTTTCCAGTATACTCTACACCTTAGGATCGTGAGCGGCGATCAGAGGTCTAGATCTGAGTGCACCTAGAGACATGGATTAGCCCCGTGGAGCTAACCCCGAGCGTCCTGAAAACTAGTGAAGAAATTTAAACTGCCAAGAAACCCCTAAGAACCTAGTAGGCCTCCAAAGGTAAACCCCTAAGATTGTAGCAACTCAGCAAGACGAAGGTAACCTCCTTTTCCCCTCCCGTACCAGTATTGACGAGCTAGGCCAAGGTCGGTTAGGGTTGTGTTACCGATAGTTCAATTGGTTTGCGGTGCACAACATATCCATTTTGAGAAGAAATGTAAAAGGATGCATGTAGCCTTATTAGCTCACAAGTATAGGAATGGGTTTCCATTTGTGTGAAGAAGGCAATTGGAGAGCTTAGATGGAAGGTAAAAAAAAAGCATAGAAAAGCATGTAAAAGTAAAACAAAAAACTTGAACTACAAAAGGACGAAAATTAGAGAAGGTCCATACTAAAAAAAGTTAAGAGCATGCAAGAATATGGTGATGCATTGCAAAATGTTAAGCATGCAGGTATGAAAAAGAACAAAATTAAATGATTTTAGAAAACAAAAAAAAGGAAGAGACAAAATCAGAAAATAAAAAGACATTTTTAGGGCCACATTTAAAGGGAGTTGTTAATTTGATTCTCATCCCCTTTCAGAAAATCAAAAGAGCTTTCACTTATGAGTAATTTGGAAGAAGTGACAATTATGTGTTGTAAGATGCATGTGAGGAGGAGAGAGAGAGAGAGAGAATCCCAAATTCCCAACTTACCCTTCCTGCCACCCTATATATCTCCCCAAATCCCACCAATCTAAATCCATTCAGTTTCCACCCTTATTCTCTCTTCTTTGCATGCAATGGCTTTGAACGGCAAGGTGGCAACCGAATCCGCTCCCTCAAACTTGAATGAGGAGATGAAAGGGGAGTACCGTCCGCCATTTGGGGGCTCCGACGAGTCAAAGGTGCCGGAGGATTTCATTTGGTCGGAAAAGTTTGAGGCATCCGAGCTGCTGCCGGTGCTGGATGTTCCAACTATTGACTTGGAAAAGTTTATGAGTGGCGACAAAAGTTATGTGGAAGAGGCGACAAGGCTGGTGGATGAGGCTTGTAGACAACATGGCATATTTTTTGTGGTGAACCATGGAGTGGACATAGAAATGATGGGCCGTGTTCATGACTGTATGAATGAGTTCTTTACAATGCCTTTGGATGTGAAGCAGAGGGCTAAGAGGAAGGTAGGTGAGAGTTATGGATATACCAATAGCTTCTTTGGGAGATTCGCGTCCAATCTTCCATGGAAGGAAACCTTTTCCCTTCGCTGTGTGGCTGCTCAGAACTCCTCCGCGGCTCATGACTATGTTCTTGACACTTTAGGCTCATCATTCTCCCATCATGGGTATCTAAATTCCACTATCTCTACGTATGCCTATTCAATTCTTATACTCTTTTTTAATTGCTTGATGGTGTTTTAGGAAGGCGTATCAAGAGTGTGGGATAGCATTGAACGAGCTTGGTACGAAGATTGTGGAGCTTTTGGGGCTTAGCCTTGGCATTTCAAGAGAATACTTCAAGAATTTCTACAAGGACAACGATTCAATATTGAGGCTTAATTACTACCCAACATGCGACAAGCCAGAGGTTGTGTTGGGAACTGGCCCTCACACTGATCCCACCTCCGTCACAATCCTTCACCAAGACCCTGTCAGTGGCCTTCAAGTGTGCTCCAATGATCAATGGTATTCAATTCCTCCAAACCCAGAAGCCTTTGTCATCAACATCGGTGACACTTTCACGGTACGCCACACAAAATTACAATTAGGGTTCTTCATTTTTCATCTTCCTTCTTCTAAACTCGACTGATTTTGAAATGGGTTGTTTGCTCTTGTGTGTTTGAAGTCTCTCACGAATGGGATTTACAAGGGCTGCATACACCGCGCTGTCGTGAATTCCATGAATGCAAGAAAATCATTGGCCTTCTTTCTGTGTCCATCGCATGACAAAGTGGTGAGAGCACCGGAGGAATTGGTGGAGAAGAGTCCACCACGAAAGTATCCAGATTATAAATGGCCAATGTTGCTTGAAATGACCCAAAAGCGTTACCGACCTGATTGCAACACTTTGGAAGCCTTCAAAACTTGGGTTCAAGAGGGAAAGGCGTTGGACACTGGGTCCACTATTACCGCCCCGTCTGCTTAAACCAACCGAAACTCCCTATGTATGTCAATAAGTGGTTCTTTGATTATGAGCTTTCTAGGCAAAAAGAATATTGTGTAGCGTTCAGTCGTCTATGTATCTCTTCTATGTTGCTGAACGTTGTAGAAAAAAAAAAAAAACTCTTTAATATACACATGTTTCATTTTGCTTACCTTTTGTTCTATTATATGCTAGTGATGTGCACGTTTGACACTTTCCATTTAAACCAAAATCAAACCTTTATACGTTTAAATGAATTAAATACTTGTTGAATGATTAAAAAAATTAATTGCATACATGAATTGAGTTTGTGAGTTAATAAACTTTACTTATTAAAAAAAAATATATTATTGTTAGTTCTTTTTACGAGAATTATTAGTCGTGGCTAATGGAGAAAGTTTGAAAAATTTGTTAGTACTATGAGGATCGCACAACAACGCGCACACTCGATTTAGATGAACACAAATAATAGGATAGAGAAATGCAATGAAAATATTGGCTAAAAGATTTGTATTGATGACTACACGTATGTACAACAATAGAATACAGGGAATATAGAAACTACATTTTCAAACATGTGTCTGAGTTATATATGGTTCAGCTAATTATATATAACTTTACCCCATATAACCTTCTCCTATATATAACTAACATCTACGTATAGTTTTGATAGATATAGCTTTTTACTATAGCACTATTTATGACAACGGTCTCCGATTACTTTTGTAAATACTAATCACATGTATATTCTATTCACAACAAAAAAAAAAAAAAGAGAATTGAAACCCATTAGTACTTGATGTTCTTAAGTTCAAAGGATCTCACCCCTCAAATTGTTCTTTCTGCTTAATCTATTTGTTTCGGTATATTTCGATCGTGAGTCATATCCAGCATTTGGTATCAGAGGTAGGATGCTGAAACAAATGTCGTCACCAAAAAAGTCGCAGAGGAGGTGTGACAACAATAAGAAGTGAAAAGGAGGAAAGTCTTAATGCTCCAGTATCCATTATTCACGAAGAGTAACTATGCAGCATGGTTGACAAAAATGCATGTTAACTTACAAGCACAAGACGTGTGACAAAAAGCCAGTATCCGTTATTATTATTATTATTTTTAAGAAGACCGAGTTGACCAGGGATCAAACAAAGTTGAAACTAGAGAGCAACGTGCAGACACTCCCATCAAGACGCTAGCAAGGGTTAAATTTCCAGTAGAATTGTTAGTAATGGCTCTAACTTGTGGAAAAACTTGAAATTTTTTTTGTGTTTTCTCCCCTATAAATATTGAAGGCTCTATTTACCACAAACAAAATAGAATTAAAAAGCACAAGTGTTTAAAGGTTCTTCGGTTCAAATAATCTCTTTCCTCAAGTTGTTCTTTCTCCTTGATCTATTTGTTTCGGTATATTTGGATCGTGGGCTATATTCCAACCAAGTTGTATCTAAAATTTTTAAAACTTAAACTAAGTCCTTGAATATAAAACTTAAACAAGATGTGTTCTAGATAGGGTAATCCCCCGATATTTTCTTGAAATTCCCAAAAAAAACTTTATCCTAGAATTTGAAAATGATGGCCCATTCCACCAAGGGAATGAGGATGGACATGAGGTTGGATATTCCAAACCCATATTTATTTGGAGGTTTTATAACATGATCATCATTTGAAATATTGTCTTACCACCTACGACAATCTTCCTCTTTTTTTAATGGGTTGTACAATTTGTCTTTCTCTTACTTGATCTTATAAATTCAATTTTTTGATGTAATTTAGACGTGAATTTCATAGATGGGTGGATTTCATTCAAATTTCCTTAAAAAACTATCCAAAATGGATATGGTTAACATGGTTCTCACATCATCTTTGTCCTTAATGAAACATTGATTTGGTTGTTATCCTTTTGTGACATGTTGCAAAGAATACCGAGAGACAAGAAAATGAATCTTTCCTCACTTTTTGATAAATATCTTATAAGATACGAAGTTTTAGAATAGGTCGAGATCTATAAGAACATAAGACAATTTTCTAAAATTTAAGGAAAAAAAATAATAAATCCTCTTTAAATCTAAACAACATATATGGATATTGTCATCCACCATGAATTCTTTGTGACATGGTTAAGACATCTTATTTCGTATCATTTCCTTACCTTGGGTGGTTAGAAAATGCATGTTAAGAAGGAAGGGCAGTTTTGAATGGGTATGTATTGTATGTATGTTATGGTAAAATTACCATTATGCCCCCAAAATACGAGTTGAGAAATATGGATGAGTACGTTATGTATGATGTAAGAAATTACCAAAATGCCCCTATGATGAGATTTGTGATGAATGTTGTTTTATATGCTTTCCTCTATGTTAGAAAAGATGATGAACTCTATGATTAGTGCTTGATTGCTTGTATATGTGCATGTTATAGTATTTGTTAACTCCAAATGTGTTCTCTCTGTAGAGCATGTTTATCTACATAGAACTAGGGCGTTACAGCTAGGTTGGTTAGACGATGACTTAGGAGAGGATGTCTCTAATGGATTGAGGACCTTAGGATTGGGAGTGACAGTTAGGAGGTCTAGACCCTAGTGCTCCCATATTAAGAAAGAGTCGAGAAGTCGGAGTAGAGAAACCTGGAGCCATAAGTCTACTTTAAGCTACCTGGCTACTTTAGGAATCCAATAGACCTCCTTAGCTCCTTAGCTCCTCTGGGTTTAGGGTGATCGATTGGTACTCTACACCTTAGGATCGTGAGCGGCGATCAGAAGTCTAGATCTGAGTGCACCTAGAGACATGGATTAGCCCCGTGGAGCTAACCTCGAGCGTCCTGAAAACTAGTGAAGAAATTTAAACTGTCAAGAAACCCCTAAGAACCTAGTAGGCCTCCACAGAAACCAAGGACGACCAAGGTAATTCTTCAGACTGATGGTAGTGTGACGGCGTCATTAGAGTCTCCGTTACCTATTCACTCCTCGATACCTGTTCCTGAGGGGGGGGGGGGGGGGGNAGACATACGGGGGCGCTCCCCCAGGCTTCGGCGATTTTATGGTCTCTTGAAAAGGTCCACCAACGAACCTTTCATGGACGATGTTCAGATTACCAGACACCATTTTGTCCCTATAGTGTATACGAGGTCGTTCCTCAATTTAGGTCACCGGTCATTCACTACATTATCAAAGTAAGCTGACAAGGTCAAAGAGCAGAAAGATTGTTGCAACTCAGCAAGACGAAGGTAACCTCCTTTTCCCCTCCCGTATTAGTACTGACGAGCTAGGCCAAGGTCGGTTAGGGTTGTGTTACCGATAGTTCAATTGGTTTGCGGTGCACAACATATCCATTTTGAGAAGAAATGTAAAATGATGCATGTAGCCTTATTAGCTCACAAGTATAGGAATGGGTTTCCATTTGTGTGAAGAAGGCAATTGGAGAGCTTAGATGGAAGGTAAAAAAAAAGCATAGAAAAGCATGTAAAAGTAAAACAAAAAACTTGAACTACAAAAGGACGAAAATTAGAGAAGGTCCATACTAAAAAAAGTTAAGAGCATGCAAGAATATGGTGATGCATTGCAAAATGTTAAGCATGCAGGTATGAAAAAGAACAAAATTAAATGATTTTAGAAAACAAAAAAAAGGAAGAGACAAAATCAGAAAATAAAAAGACATTTTTAGGGCCACATTTAAAGGGAGTTGTTAATTTGATTCTCATCCCCTTTCAGAAAATCAAAAGAGCTTTCACTTATGAGTAATTTGGAAGAAGTGACAATTATGTGTTGTAAGATGCATGTGAGGAGGAGAGAGAGAGAGAGAGAATCCCAAATTCCCAACTTACCCTTCCTGCCACCCTATATATCTCCCCAAATCCCACCAATCTAAATCCATTCAGTTTCCACCCTTATTCTCTCTTCTTTGCATGCAATGGCTTTGAACGGCAAGGTGGCAACCGAATCCGCTCCCTCAAACTTGAATGAGGAGATGAAAGGGGAGTACCGTCCGCCATTTGGGGGCTCCGACGAGTCAAAGGTGCCGGAGGATTTCATTTGGTCGGAAAAGTTTGAGGCATCCGAGCTGCTGCCGGTGCTGGATGTTCCAACTATTGACTTGGAAAAGTTTATGAGTGGCGACAAAAGTTATGTGGAAGAGGCGACAAGGCTGGTGGATGAGGCTTGTAGACAACATGGCATATTTTTTGTGGTGAACCATGGAGTGGACATAGAAATGATGGGCCGTGTTCATGACTGTATGAATGAGTTCTTTACAATGCCTTTGGATGTGAAGCAGAGGGCTAAGAGGAAGGTAGGTGAGAGTTATGGATATACCAATAGCTTCTTTGGGAGATTCGCGTCCAATCTTCCATGGAAGGAAACCTTTTCCCTTCGCTGTGTGGCTGCTCAGAACTCCTCCGCGGCTCATGACTATGTTCTTGACACTTTAGGCTCATCATTCTCCCATCATGGGTATCTAAATTCCACTATCTCTACGTATGCCTATTCAATTCTTATACTCTTTTTTAATTGCTTGATGGTGTTTTAGGAAGGCGTATCAAGAGTGTGGGATAGCATTGAACGAGCTTGGTACGAAGATTGTGGAGCTTTTGGGGCTTAGCCTTGGCATTTCAAGAGAATACTTCAAGAATTTCTACAAGGACAACGATTCAATATTGAGGCTTAATTACTACCCAACATGCGACAAGCCAGAGGTTGTGTTGGGAACTGGCCCTCACACTGATCCCACCTCCGTCACAATCCTTCACCAAGACCCTGTCAGTGGCCTTCAAGTGTGCTCCAATGATCAATGGTATTCAATTCCTCCAAACCCAGAAGCCTTTGTCATCAACATCGGTGACACTTTCACGGTACGCCACACAAAATTACAATTAGGGTTCTTCATTTTTCATCTTCCGTCTTCTAAACTCGACTGATTTTGAAATGGGTTGTTTGCTTTTGTGTGTTTGAAGTCTCTCACGAATGGGATTTACAAGGGCTGCATACACCGGGCTGTAGTGAATTCCATGAATGCAAGAAAATCATTGGCCTTCTTTCTGTGTCCATCGCATGACAAAGTGGTGAGAGCACCGGAGGAATTGGTGGAGAAGAGTCCACCGCGAAAGTATCCAGATTATAAATGGCCAATGTTGCTTGAAATGACCCAAAAGCGTTACCGACCTGATTGCAACACTTTGGAAGCC